CCCCTCCTCCAGGAAGCCGGCCAGGCTGTCGGCTCTGCCCCCTGTCCCCTGCCCCCCTCCTCCAGGAAGCCGGCCAGGCTGTCGGCTCTGGTTCTGCCCGGCTCGCCCGGCCCAGGAGGCACCGCACAGCGGGGGAGGGGGGGGTACCCATGGCCCCCACCTGGGCGTAGTTGATGAAGAATATCTGGTCGGAGGTCAGCTCCAGTCCTGGCAGGTGCTGGTCCTTGCCCCCATCGGCTACCCACTTCAGGTAAGCCTGCGGGCACCAAGCGGGCACTGGGCCCCAGCCTGCCCTCCTCCCTCCTGGGGACGCACCGCCCCTGCCAGAGAGGAGGTCTCTGCCTCCCTTTGGGGGCCCTGCCTCTGCATCCTAGGGACCCCCCTTGAGCACCCAGGGAAGGCACTCGCCACCTTCACAACTCGGTGGCCAGCTGGACACGGACACAGGCTGGGCTCGCGCGAGGCTCCCTGCCCGGGCGGCATCCACAGGGCCCCCCCCCAGCGTGCGCTCCTGACGCCCAGTGCCCGGGGACTGCGGGTACAGGGCTGAGCGATGACTGGCACTGTCTACTTGGAGCTGGACAGTGCCCTCCCACCCCCCAAGCACAGAGGCCTTGGCTGAGGTCAAGGTAAAGTGTGTGTGTGGGGGGGAGCAGCCAGGGGGCTGTCACCTGCCCACGGCCGGGCAGGGTCCCCCAGGGCACGGCTGCCTCCCAGCGGGCAGCAGCGAAGGGTGCGGGCCACCTGGGCCTCTGGGACCCACCTTGTACGCCTGCCGTATCCCGCCGTTGTCAGCGATGTTCTCCCCGAGCGTGCTGAAGCCGTTCACCTGCGCACAGAGACGCGGTGGGCAGGGGGCTGCCCGGCCACCCCCCCAGGCCAGGGCGCCCCGTGGCCGCTCACGTTCTGCTGCTCCGCCAGGTCCCAGGAGTAGTTGCCGTACTGGTAGACCATGCACTCGGACTGCTCCCTGAAGTGCTGCGCCGAGAAGTTGCTCCACCAGTCCAGCATGTTGCCGTTCTCGTCGAAGTTCCGGCCTGCGGGCGAGCGGCCGGCAGAGTGGGCCCTCTGTGCAGCCCGCGGGCCAAGCTCAAGCTTGCGAGCAGGGGGTGGCCCGTGCCACCCTGGACGGTGGGGCCTGGTCTCAGGTCGCAGGGCCCAGAGGCACTGCGGTTCCATGACCCTCCCTGCTGTGAACCCAGGTGACAGTGGGCGTGGTGCTGGGACGGGGCTGCCCTGGGAAGGCGCCCATGGTCCAGCTCTGGGTGGACCAGCCTCCCTGGGCTGCAGCNGGGGGTGGCCCGTGCCACCCTGGACGGTGGGGCCTGGTCTCAGGTCGCAGGGCCCAGAGGCACTGCGGTTCCATGACCCTCCCTGCTGTGAACCCAGGTGACAGTGGGCGTGGTGCTGGGACGGGGCTGCCCTGGGAAGGCGCCCATGGTCCAGCTCTGGGTGGGCCAGCCTCCCCGGGCTGCAGCTGCAGTCCCTGTGCCTGGTCACAGGCCCCTAGACCCAGGCAGGGCGGCCCTGCCCGGGAGGGAGGTCTGAGTGTTTGGTCAGCACAGCCCAGGGTGGGAGGCTGCGGGCTGCCCTGGAATGACCCCGTGCTGGGCTCAGAGCGTGAAGGTGCACTGGGCTGTGTAGCTGTCCCCGGGTCACAGGCCCAGGGAGGGGAGGGGTGTGTTCATGAGGTGGAGTCAGGACCAGGCCCTCAAACCCTGTCCCCTCTCCTCCATCCCTCTGTCCAGGGGCCAAGCCTGCGATTCAAGACCTGCTCTGCCACTGTGTCTCCCCTGGCAAGGGGGCCTGGCAAGTCTTTTCCATGTCGCGGGCCTCAGTGTCCCCGCCTAATCACAAAGGGGTTGGATGGACAGCCCCGGGGCCCCTTCCCGGCAGCCTGACTTGGCCCTCAGGCCCCTTCGGGGCTGCTGCTCAGTGGAGGGGGGTCTGTGGCTTGGAGGTGCAGCTCTGACCAAACAGCAGCCCCCTACCATTGTCATCAAAGCCATGGGTGATCTCGTGTCCAATCACCATCCCAATGCCCCCGAAGTTCAGGGCCTGCGGCTGCTCCTTGCTGAAGAAGGGGGGCTGGAGGATCCCAGCGGGGAACACTGCCCCAGGGCGGCATTGGGGGGGACAGAGAATAAGCCGTGAGTGAGCCCACCTGTGTGCCGGGCCCTCTAGGGGTCCTGCCTGTTAATCCCACAGACCGGGCCCGGGAGATCGGGACCCCCCATTTTACAAATGAGAAAGCCAAGGCTCAGAGCTGAGGGGACCGGGAAGGGGGTGGCAGGTCCAGGACCCAGGTCCAGGTTCTTGGCACCTTTTTATGCTGCGTCCCAGGAAAGGGTCTGCTGCTCTGCCCCCTAAAACCCTCCCAGTGCTGATCACAGACACAGCGAAACCGCCCCTTGGGTTGGGTTGGACAGGGTGAAGTTCCTACAGGTGGCAGAGGTGGTACCTTTTCCCCTTTCGAGAACGGGCTGGGGGTGCCCGCAGGGGAAGGGTGGGCCGCTCAGGCTCCCCTCTGGCATCAGAGGGATGAGTGCGGGTAGGTG